TTTACATAGTGGTAATATATTATTGCAAGGAGGTGGTTGTTATATTACAGATTTAGGATTATGTGGACCAGTTGATGAAAAGTCATCAAATAAGGTCTATGGAATTATATCATATGTTGCACCCGAGCTACTTAGAGGCAAAAATAATACAAAGAACACAAAAGAAACTGATATATATAGTGTTGGGATGTTAATGTGGGAAATATTTGCAGGTCATCCACCATTTGATGATAGAGCTCACAATCATTGTTTGATTTTTGATATATGTGAAGAAGGTTTACGACCACCAATATTACCTGGAATGCCTGATGATTATGTGCAAATGATGCAGAGATGTTGGGATGTGGATCCATCTAAAAGACCAACCAGTAGAGAGCTTCATGATTTTGCTGAAAATAAACTTGAAGAAATTATTCAAAATAAAAGTTTGAAAAATAATACTAGCAATAATAGTTTAATAAAAAGATTATTCAAATTTTCAAAAATCAAAAAACATGAAATTGATTTTAATAATGGTAGCAGCAGCAGCAGCAGTGGTGGCGATGGTGGTAGTGATGGCGATGCTTTGCAACAAGCACACAAATCACATCCAGATGCATATCATACAAGTAGAATATTAGATGAAGAGATTGCTAAATCTAAAAGCTTTAAAATTTATACAAGTAATGATAGTTTGTTAAGTAATCTTGATTTTACTCTTTTCTCTAGAATGCTAATAAAGGTGAATAAAAATTTCATTATTAATCAATTGGAATCACTATCCATTAATCATTACTTACAATATCAATTAATTAATTAAACTCTAGTAAAGCGATGAATGACTAATTAATCTTTCCACTATAAATTTATTATCTTCTTTTATTTATCTTTTTATTTTATAATAAACTTTCTACAGTTTTTTGATTCTTGTTGAATGGTGATATTGTGAGGATCATTTTGGTTAATTAACAATTATGGCTTAACTTTGGGTTATTCTTGTTAGTTAATAATTCGATGCTTAAATTAATTAGTTTACGAATTTACTTTGGTTCTTGATCACTGCACCTAGACGAATCAGTGAGCACACTTAATCGATTTGTTTCAGTTGTTTACCCTTGTTTACATTTATTGGTTGATTGTAAACTTCCTTACATTTACGACTACAATAATAACATTACCAATATTTCCGATTAACCTTTTGACGATAACTTCATTGATACCCACTAATTAACCAACAACGTTAGTCCTAACCTTGCTTACTTGCTCAATAAAGCAAATAAACGTGGCTTTTTACCCAAGCTCCACAATTGTTAACTACACTTATTGCTTTTATCAAATCACTTTAAATAATGAAAATAAAGGCAATGTTTTTTATTTAATAAAATAATGATTCTATCACAGAATTTTATTTTATTAGAATTTCAATTATCTATTATTTTCCTCTGCGAGGACCAGAAGTTATCCTTAATGAAATTTTCGTCGTTCGCTACAATAAGAATAAAGATAAATAAAGATGGGTTTATTATTGCAAAATAACTTAATCAATCAGTATTGATATTATAAAAACTTCCACAATTATTTACACAGTAACTTGATAATAATTACAAGCTTTTGCGTAAAATTTTCATTTGATAATAATAATAATTAAAATTAGTCGACCCGATGATGATTTTATCTCCCGATCATGTATCATGTTATAAATGAGTGTGTGAGAATTGAATTTGTATTCAGCAAAAGAAAAACTTGGCTCCCTGGGAACCTTGGAATATATATTTACGAGTTTTTTGTGAGCTTTTATATTTATTAGCCTTTAAAGCAATTTTACTTACGTCATTTTTGATTTAATGGCAGCGAATTTGACGTAATAATTTTACAACTTTGGTCAAACATTACCTGATGGTAGTTTGCTTCTTCTCCATTGTCGTAGCAAAAACAATCAACGTGGAATTGAAGAAGGTTCTGCACAAGATATTTATCTTATACCAGATTCAAAATCAATTAATGGTATCAGAAAGTATCTTTCAAAGCGTCCTATTAGTGCTTCTAAAAAATTTTATTTACATGTGAACCTATATTGGCGCGAAACTGATATTTGATATAAAAAGGCATATCGTAGTATTAACAGAATAACAAATCTTATGAAAGAAATTGAAAAATATGTTAAAGTAGAGCTTCCAACTGGTCTCTTAACAAATCATTCTGGCCACAAAACTGTTGCTCAGATTCTTCATACAGGAAGATGTTAACGGTCATTCAAGGTATCAAGATCTTCAATTCTTGCAAATTCAACAAGTAATAGCATAAACACTAATTACTATCAATGCTATGCCCGAAATTTTTTCGATGTATTCAAAAGAATTTCCTATTTTAAAAATTGTATAGCAATTTTTTGTAGTATAATTTTGATATTTCCATGGTTTTCAAAATATCACTATGAAATACCATTAGTAAACTACGGAAACACGTATATTTTCACGCCGTGAAAATCATTGATATATACGGTGTGGAATAACGATTACGTATGTTACTAATCTAAAACGAATCCTTTGGTAACTACAGTCCCGACTAAGTTTTGGGCTCAGGTGCTCATACTCATTCTTTGTTGGCCCATCTCCCATTTATCTTTATGAAGATGACGCAATTCATTTTCACAAAAATTTAAAAGGTGCTCATGATCCCACCTATTATCCAAGATTTGTGATAAATACTTTTATTTGAGAAGCACGTGGTTTGGATAGTATATGATTTAGACGAAGAAGTGTTTACATTTGTTAAATAATGCGGTAATATATACTAATTGTGAAACGAAGAATTAACATGAAATTCACTATGGAACAGAAATGTTGGCAACAAATACAGATTGTGGCGCAGAGTTTGGATTACAAACTCCTGGTGCAAGAATTGAAAATATTTACCATTGACTTCTAGATGGATTCACCCGAGAAAAATAGCATTGAAGAAAAAATAATTAAGATCCACATGATTGGACTTCACAACAAATTTTTTAAAAATTTTATTTATTGTAATCTAACTATTTAAGAAATAAAATTTACTATTAAAATATAAATATTACTTCGCTAATTATTTATAGGTCTTATATAAATGCCCAATAACTAAAGTTGAAATCGCCACAAATCTAATGATAAAAAGATTGACGAATCCACGATAATAAGGATCGACAGAAAAATATGGGGGTTGTTCTGGTGGTGGTGGTGGTGGTGGTGGTGGTGGTGGTAGTGATGTTGATGTTGGAGTTGGAGGTGGTGGCGGTGGTGGCGATGGTTCTGGTACAGCAAATTTATTAACCCAGCTATGAGATTCCATGTCAAAAATATATAATTCTTCGCTATATTTTTCATGTCCTGATATAGAACTTTCGTAACCTACACAATTTAAATATAAATATATATTAATTAAGCAAGTTTAAATATAAAGCATAATATTATTAAAACATATAAATAGATTGTTAATATACCAAATGCAACTATCATATATTTATCGATTGATGTTGCACTATGTGCATAAAGCAATGGGGGTGTGTCGGCATTATTTGAAACTTTTGGTATCGACCATTCACAAGAGATACGTGTAATATTTAATATTGCCAAATGAGGGTATGGATATTGCTTTTCATGATAATCATGACCACCAAATACAATTATAGAATCATCTGGACCTATATTTAATATTTATAAATATATAATTAATCAAATTAAATAATTTCATTATTTTTTGAAAACTTATAAAATCCTCACCCAAAACTGCAGAGTGGTATTCACGAGAACCAATATCTTGGCCTCTAGCACTCTAATAGCAACACGATATCAACAAATTAATTAATATTTGTTCCTCAATAATAAAAATTATTTTCTTAATAACTTACAATCAGAGACCATTTATTAATTTTTGTGTCGTAAACATTTATCTAAAAAAAAAAAATTAAATTATTAACTAGTAAAAAAATTAAAGATACAAAAATTCAACGTAATAATCAATGATACCAGATTCATTGGCATACATCCAGATTCATTGCATCCTCCAATATATACGATCACACCATCAGGTAACATAGTAGATGTGTATCCATGTCTATACGATGGTGCATTTTCTATTGGACCTGTTGACCAAGTCATATTAATTGTATTCAATATGTATATAATATTGTTATATTGATTATATCCACTAAAAACATAAACAGATCCTTCATTATCTGAAACACATTGAACGTTTATTCGCCAATCAAAAGGTTCTGCGTTATAAGGTAAAGACCATATATCATATTTATGATTATATTCAATGAATGGTGTTTCTTTATCTGGCATATGGTCACTTTTACGATAAGTTCCTCCAATAAATATGAATGAGTCTCTGGCTGTTTTACACACAGAGCTATGCATTATTTCGATATTTGCTTTCGACTTTTCTATCCATTTAGGAAGCGTCCTGCTAAATGACTCTTCTAGATCCAAATAAAAGGCATCACCTCCTACTGAATAATCATCAATATAACCACCAAAAAAATAAAGCTTTGTGTCATTACGAATTGAAGCGTGAAAGGAACGTGCTCCGGGAGAATAAGCTTTAACAAGCCTAATATATATTAAAAATGTTATAATGATGGAATAAACATTAAACATTATCGTTGTTTATAATTTTTTATTGAAATAAGGATCGTCTTGTAAAATTAAAAATATCAAAAAAAGTAAAGATCTACCATTGCCCTTCCGAAATTCAAATTTGATTGGAATGTAACGTTACATCTACACTTCCCTACACTGTCATATACAGTCAAACCTCGTTTCAACGGATCTATCAACAGGAAAATTTTAATAAAATTTTTTTTGTTCAATGATTTAAATATAATAATACTTAATACAATACTTGATATAATGCATTAAAATTTACAAAAAATTAAAATGATAATTAATAGTCAATTATTTACTGAAAAAACTAGTAATGTTTGTTTGTATTGAATTTTGAATACTATATGATTTTAAATTTTTTTTTTTCAATGATTTTAAAGCTTTTAATTCATTATAATCTGCTTGTATATTATTTTGTTCAAGAAAATTAAAAGCAGTTTCAAAAGCTTTTTCACATTTTTTGGA